CGTCCCTGGGTGCAGTGGGTGGGCGGCAGGCCAGACAAGTAGTTCCCAGTGCCCTGGTGGAAGCGCTGTTGGGGGAACCTTCCGCAAGCCAGTCTGCCAAGGCCACTGGCTCACGTGCTTTCTGTCAGCAGATTCCCAGACCCCTTTCCTAGGATAACATCCACCCTCCAAGGTTGGCTGTGGAAGAAGACTCTCCACCAGGGACAGCTGTCTCGGAGACTACTTTTGCCCTTGGGGAGCCCACTAGTCATCCCAGCCTTCACCACCCAGACCCAGAAATACACAGTCCCCCGCACCACTGACCCAGGTGTAGACACAGACCCCACCCTGATTCCAATACGGTCCAGATCAGACACAAAGTCAAGGCTTTATTGAAAACAGCAGTGATGAAGGGGACTTAGTCCTGGCTGTTGGACTTGGCTGTGTACTCTTGGCACTGCCAGAGCACCACAGGTGGTGTGGGAAGTATGGCTCACCGTGTGGAGACAGCCCTGGGGGAGGGGGGGTGCCTCAAGGAGGGAGAAACAGGGTGTCTGCGCTCTAGATCCAAGGGTACCTCTGTTCCTGGGGACACTAAAGTTCAGGCGGAATGAAGGAGCCGAGTGTCTGTTCTCTGGCTGCAGGGGCGCCCTACTGACAGGAACTGGCACTGTCCTCCTGCGGGGCCCCCCGGGCAGTGGGAAGACCACAGCAGTTGCTGCTGCCTGCAGCCGCCTTGGGCTCCACTTACTGAAGGTGAGGGTACCCAGAGGGTAGAACCCCAACTGCTTCCCCTCCCCAGCCCAGATTCTGCCTCTCCTTCTCTCCTTTCCCGTCTCCCTTCTGGCTACTAGCCTGGCCCCGACACTTCAGGCCAGTGGGTCAGCTATTTTCCCATGATGCTCAGCTCCTGAGAAAGGCTTTCGAGGAGGGGTTTTCAGTGGACAGTCCAGGGAATGAGGTTAGGATAGAGATGTAGGACTTGGCCAGCATTACCTTCTTCCTCCATCCCTGCCTTTCAAAAAGAGGTGGCCTGCACCTTCTCCAGACTCCTCCCCCCATTCTCCTGCCCCTGCTCACAAGCCCTTTGGGACCCCCTCCCCAGGTGCCCTGCTCCAGCCTCTGTGCAGACAGCAGTGGGGCTGTGGAGGCAAAACTGCAGGCCACCTTCTCCCGGGCCCGGCGCTGCCGGCCTGTGGTTCTGTTGCTGACGGCCTTAGACCTCCTGGGCCGGGACCGTGATGGGCTAGGTGAGGACGCCCGTGTGGTGGCCACGCTGCGCCGCCTCCTCCTCGACGAGGACCCCCTCACCAGGTAATGTACAGAGCCGGGCTGAGCCCTCCTCCCTATCTTCAGCCTTTCATCCTCTCGCCCTCACCAGCCAACCTCAGCTGCCAACTTGGCTGCTCTCCTGACAGCCCTGAGGAGCTTAGGGGCGTCCAGAGAGAGAAGGATGTGGTCCCTAGTTTTTCTTGGAGGACATTAGAATGCAGAAAAGGCACAGCCTCTGCCCTTGGTGAGCTCCCTGTGTGAGGAGGAAACACAGGGTCCCCTCAAGGAATTCCCATGGAGCCCCATCCAGGAAGCCTTGGGGTGCTCATCTTCCTATCCCATCTCAGCACCACCCACCTCCCTGCACTTCTGCACCAGCCTCAGGCCTAGCAGTGCTCAGGGGCTGCCAGCCACATTCTCTCCCTCAGTCCCCCTCTGCCTGCAGCTGCCCTCCACTAATGGTTGTGGCCACCACAAGCCGGGCCCAGGACCTGCCTGCCAACGTGCAGACAGCGTTTCCTCATGAGCTGGAGGTGCCTGTGCTGTCAGAGGGGCAGCGGCTCAGCATCCTGCGGGCCCTCACTGCCCGCCTGCCCCTGGGCCAAGAGGTGAACCTGGCACAGCTGGCTCGGCGGTGTGCAGTGAGTACCACAGCAGGGCCTGGACCTCCCTCGTTCTTTGTCATGGGGAATCACACCCACTGCCCTGCCAGTGAGGGCTTTCTGCAGAAAGCCCCAAGGCATCAGTATTGGGCCTGCCTCTGCTCCGGCTGGGGGACCCACTGCCCAAGAGCTCCTGCCTCCTGCGCCCCGCTCACGTGTCCTTTCCTGTGGTTCCCCAGGGCTTCGTGGTAGGAGATCTCTATGCCCTTTTGACCCACAGCAGCAGGGCAGCTTGCACCAGGATCAGGAACTCTGGGTAAGAAAATTGGACACAGAAGGGCAAAGGAGACAAGAGGAAATAATGGGTGGGTGGGGCCTGGTGAGGAAGAGAGTAGGAACAAGGACCCGGGGAGAGGGGAGAGAGCCTCGGGTCAGGTCCTCCAGACAGGTGCCTGAGCTTCTCCTTGCAGTTTGGCAGGCGGCTTGAGTGAGGAGGATGAAGGGGAGCTGGTTGCTGCTGGCTGTCCTCTCCTGGCTGAGGACTTCACGCAGGCCCTGGAGCAGCTGCAGTCAGCTCACTCCCAGGCCATCGGAGCCCCCAAGGTAGACACACTCCAGGCCCTTGGAGGTGGGACCTGAGCGTACCGGCTCGAGTGTACCCACCACTGTGTACTTTGCATCTCCTAGATCCCCTCGGTGTCCTGGCATGATGTTGGTGGGCTGCAGGAGGCGAAGAAGGAAATTCTGGAGACCATCCAGCTCCCTCTAGAGCACCCTGAGCTTCTGAGCCTGGGCCTGCGGCGCTCAGGCCTCCTGCTCCATGGGCCTCCAGGCACTGGCAAGACCCTCCTGGCCAAGGCAGTAGCCACTGAGTGCAGCCTCACCTTCCTCAGGTGGCCAGGGGGCCCGAAGGGGTGCAGGGTGGAGAGCACTGCACAAGCTGGGAGTAAGCAGGGCAGACCAAGAGGCCGACGGTGTGTTCATGCATCTGAACAACTATTACCCTCTCAATCCTCTCCCTCAGTGTGAAGGGGCCAGAGCTCGTCAACATGTATGTGGGCCAAAGTGAGGAGAATGTACGGGAAGGTGAGTGGACAGAGCAGGTCTTCCAGTCCTTCCCAAACCCTGAAGGCCTCTGTGTCACCTGCCCCCCCCACCACCCCGCCTTGCCAACCCTCAGGCTGCTGGTGGTCATTCCTAGTCTTCCTTCCCACGAGTCAGGTCCCTGCCAGTGGGGCCTATCACTTAGAGTGCTAGTTATGATTGCTAAACCTGGGTTTTCTTCTCCCATATCTTGATTTCAAACCCCCCTGAGAGTCCCCCTCCTGTGGGCCCTCTCTCTCTCCTCAGTGTTTGCCAGGGCCAGGGCTGCGGCTCCATGCATTATCTTCTTTGATGAACTGGACTCCTTGGCCCCAAGCCGGGGGCGAAGTGGAGACTCTGGAGGGGTGATGGACAGGTGGGGGTCTGAGCCAGAATGGAGTCTGGGGTCCAGGACCGAGGGATGTGAGATAGGTGGCAGCAGTCTTCAGGACCCAAAGAGTTCCTGCCCTTCCGGTTCTCAGGTAGTGTGGTGGAAGGACAAGGGGCTGTGGCTTTGGGTGTGGGCCGCTGAGGAGGATGGGCGCCCGCATGGAAGGGTGCACAGGACACAACTGAGCAGGGGCCCCGCAGAGAAGGCCTGAAAGAGGCACCACGGGCAGGCCGAACCTGGTGGATTGGCCAAGGACTTTCTCACCTTCACGCCTCCTTCGCAGGGTGGTGTCTCAGCTCCTGGCGGAGCTGGATGGGCTTCATAGCACTCAGGATGTGTTTGTGATCGGGGCTACCAACAGGCCAGACCTCCTGGACCCTGCCCTCCTGCGGCCTGGCAGGTACGCACCCTGCACCTCTCCTCTACCACACCCACTTAGGCTCGTTCTTTGAGCCCGTCCTGTGCTTTCTGCACTCTCCTTGATGCTGGGCTCCCTGACATGTGTACCCACCTCTCCCTAAAGATTTGACAAGCTGGTGTTTGTGGGGGTGAGCGAGGACCGTGCCTCCCAGCTCCGCATTCTGAGCGCCATCACACGCAAGTATGCCCCGTCAGAGAGGCCCAGAGGGTTTGGGCCTTGGGCTGGTTGGGGAATAGTGCAGTGTGCAGAACAGGCTGGTCCGGGTGCCTTTTGAGGGAGTAGGGCATGCTGGGGAAAACTTTCTTTCTCTACCCCCACAACAGATTCAAGCTGGAATCCTCTGTGAGCCTGGTGAACGTGCTGGATCACTGCCCTCCCCAGCTGACGGGCGCAGACCTCTACTCCCTCTGCTCTGATGCCATGACAGCTGCCCTCAAACGCAGGGTTCAAGATCTGGAGAAAGGTGAGCCATTCGCCAGCCCTAGAGGTCAACCAAAAAGCTAGTGGGAAAACCAGGTCCTGTTCCAGATTTCAGAGGAGGGACTCTGGACATTTGGGGGACTCTGGGCAAGAAAGTGCTCCTCCAGGGCTCTCCCTTGCTTGGGCACAGCCAGAGTTCGCCAGCGGGGATGGGAACCCTGGCCTCACCTTCCCCCTGGCATCCCCCTAGGGCTGGAGCCTGGGAGCTCAGCGCTGCTGCTCACCATGGAGGACCTGCTGCAGGCTGCCACCCGGCTGCAGCCCTCCGTCAGTGAGCAGGAACTGCTCCGGTACAAGCGCATCCAGCGCAAGTTTGCTGCCTCCTAGGAGCCTCCTGCAGTCCGGGACCCAGCCCTGCCTACTGTGCTGAAGGTACCTAGATATCTCCAGAGACCTGAGACAGCAAAGAGCTCTTTCTCAGGCTGCTGCCAACTCCTCTGAAGGCTGCCTACCTACAGGAGATCCCCTGGGTGCCAAGTGGGGGAGTCCTAAGAGATTTGAAGGGGCATCCTCTGTCCATTTTTCCAGGCCAGCCCTAAGACTGAGGCCTCTCTGCTTAGGAAGAGGGGTGGGAACCTGGAATTCTGGGAACTGGGCCTGGAGGGAGCCTGGTCTGTGGCTGAAAATAAAGTGTATGCTGCCCTCTGCTGGTGGTGCGGTCTGAGATTGGTGTGGTGTGGGGAAGAGTAAAATTGGGAGAGGAGGAGTCGGCCCCAACTGAGGGTAGATGGGCTCCACCCAAGCCTGATTCTTCTGATGTAAACACAAGACGTGCAGGAACTGAAAAAGAGTGACTATATTGTCATCCTTCCATTAGCCTAAACCCAATCCTTGCACCCCAGTTGCAGTTGGCCCCTCCACACACCCCCAGCATCTACACCTGATGCTGTTGGTGTGGGACTCCCCAGACAGAGCCTGGCAGCGCCTGGGCAGAGGGTTGTGGGAGCTGAGGCCACGCTCAGTTCATCTTCTTGAGCACGTGGATGAAATAGCAGGGGACGTAGGTCTGGCCTGGCTTGTAAGGCTTGAAGTCACCCAGGATGCTGTGCTGGCACTTGCCCCCAAAGGCTGCTTGGAGCAACTCCGTGAAGGACGATAGACAGTGAGGATAGTAGGAGAGCCGGAAGTTACTGCAACAGAGATCCTGACCAATCACGAGGACTGGTGGCCTCGGCACTCCCCCCAACTCACCCCCACCCAGCCACGCGGGTACCTCAGGCCAGGAGAACCGTCCTTGCCAGCCCCTGGCACCTGCACCGTGTAGTCCAGGGTCACCATGTGGGCTTTGTTGTTCACTGTCAGCACTGATGTTGTAATGTCCTTGGTCAAGTCACTCTGTAAGTGGTGGTGCAGGCTGCATTAGTCTCCGCAACCAGTGTAGAGGGGTGGCTGGGCCCCAGAATCACACCTCCCACTCTGGGCCCTCCCTCAGGGACCCACCTTATAGTAGATGTTCTTTCCTGGAGGCGCGCAGCCTGTGCTGAGGATGTGGTCGTAGTTACGATGGTCGATGACCAGCAGGCCTCCGGAACACACCATGTTCGCAATGTTCTTCAGCGCCAGCCGGTGCTCACTCTGGTCCCCTGAACTCCGAGCAGGGGCAGAGCGGCTGTGTCAGCACTAGTCTCCTGTCTTTCTACTCCCCAGGGACAGCAGTGCCAAGGGGAAGAGGGGCAAAAAGCATAGTCTGCTCTGGCAGGAGAGCAGGCACCCAGGGGTCTGTGCAAAGGGAGTATAGCCCAAAGCAAGGACTGTGCCCAAGGCCACACCCTCTCTCACCTTTGCAGTCTGGCAAGTGGGCAAAACTGTTTCCAAGGCAGATGACGGCATCAAAGCCACCCTCTGGAGGCTGGGGCACATCTTTGTCCAGAGTCATCCAGTTGGCTTCCTCAATGACTGGGGGCCAAAAAGGGGAGATCGGGCTGGTACCACGGTACCAGCAGAACCCATCTGTGCTGAGTGCAGTTCTGCCTCAGTTTCCCCTTCAAGAGACACAGAGGGCTCCACATCCAGTTAGAGGAAGGGGATCATTATGGAGATGGAGGATGTGGGGTCGAGAGAAGGGAGACATGGTTCAGAAGGATGACTCTGTGCTTATGGGTTTTTATTTGGAGGGAGGGACAAGACATTATGAACATAATTAAAACTAGCCCCTCACACCTGATACCTCATTGTGGTAACTAAGTCTCCCTTTTCAGGGAAATGGCAGTAATTTTGCTTTGCCCTTAAAGAAAACAAAACACCCCACCCCAGGAGCCCAGGGCAGAGAGAACTGTCCTTGCTGGCCGGGCTGGGAGGGCCTGCCTGGGGGGGACCCACGTACCCCACTTGTCAAAGGCAGGCTCGTGCCGCCGGTTCCAGCGCTCTTTAAGTGCGTATTTCAGCATCTTGTCACTGGCGTCCACGCTTGTCACACTGAAGCCCTCTTCCACCAGCATGATGGAGTCCACCCTGGGCAGGCCGGGGACGAGAGGCAGAGAGGGGCAGTCAGCGGGCCTGGGAAGGCGAGGAGGCCCTCCAGACCCCAGTCCTCTGCTTCCTCTCCCTGGGCCCTCTCCACAGAATTCAAATGACCTGACAAATCTGTTTGTTTATCACCAGAAAGCAATGTTGCATTTTGGTTTTTAGCACCCCATTCAGAGTTAGCCTACAAATGTGCATTAATCCTCTTGGCAATCCTGTGAAGTACCCCATCTGAGAGCTGGGGCAAACAGGCTCCCCAAAGTTAAGTAACTTGTGAACAGAAGGTAGTTCTCACGGCAGGTGAAAGCCCAGGCCAGACCCTAACCGGCCGGATCTGGTCCTCCTCTCCACCAGGCGGGGCGTCTTTATTTCTCTGAGACAGAATCTCCACAGCTGTGAATGTGATATTGCTACCTCCTCCCTCGGGTTTTGGGAGGATAATTTTTAAATAGATTTTATTGAATGTTAACTTCCTTTTTTCTTTTTAATCCTCACCTGAGAACATGCTTATTGGTTTTAGAGAGAGGGGAAGGGAGGGAAAGAGAGAGGGAGGCATCCATTGGATGCCTCATGCGCCCCAACTGGGACCGAACCTGTAACCCAGGCATGTGCCGCAACCAGGAATCAAACTTTCGACCCTTAGGTTTATGGGCCAGTGTTCCAACCAACAGAGCCACACCAGCCTGGGCGGGTTTTCTGAGGGTTTTTGTTTTTTTTTTAATGTGTTTCAAAAGTTCCTGGCAGAGTGCTTGGCATGGACAAATGCTGAGCAAACATTAATTGTTAGCAATTGCCATCACCCTAGAAATAATGCTGGATCCAGGCTTGGGTCTCCTGCCACGGTGGCCCAAAACAAAGCCCAGCTCCGGCGCTGCCGGGGCGAACCGCCCTCCCCACCCGCTGCGCCTACACCCTCACTCCCAGCCTGGTCCTGGCGCCCTCCAGTCCGCCTCGCCCGCCCAGCCACTGTTCCTGGCCCAGGCGGCGGGGGCTGCCCGGACTTGTCCGGCCATGGTCCTGCAGTCCTGCGGCCACGTTCCCCGGATCCCGGCTCCCAGCCAAGCTCACCCAGTGCCACAGGCCACATCGAGCACTCGCCGGCAGCCGTGCTGGCGCAGCAGCCCGAGCAGCCAGGACTTGTACTCGGCTGTGCGGCTGCGGGTATCTCCGATGTAGAGCTGCCACACACGCGCCGCCTCTCCATCTGCGTACTGGTCTGGGAGCCCTTCTGCCGCCACCCCCAGGGAGCGGGTTCGGTACACACTGTCCACCATCCTGCGAGGCACCAGGCTCTGGGGCCACCGGCCGGCATTTATAGACTGGCCCCTACGGGAGGCCCGGCTGTCCCACCTGCCCAATAGCAGGTGAGAGTAGGGACACGCCCCTCCTGGGTCAGGGCCCGGCACCCGCCGGGAAGGCGCCACCTCAAAATCCCGATGAACCGTTCTCTCCCGCCTGAAGATCAAGCCCTCAGGCCAGTCCCGTGGCAGGAAAGGACCACCCCAGCACCCTGCCCATTTAACCCAGGCGGCAGGAAGACCAGGGAGGGTCCCGGAGAACAGGGAGCAGTGAGATTGTCCATCCCAGCCCCACACAAACTGGAAAGAAAGGAAAGAATTTCCTTGTGTGCCAGCTGGTGCCCACTCTGGTCCCCTGAGCTCCACGGGGGGCCGGGGGGGGGGGCAAAGAGGCTGTGTCTACTCAATCTTCCGTCCACATGGAGCTGAGTGCCCAGGACTGGACCATCCTTCGTGAATGAAGGTATCCGCATATATAAAGAAGAAATATCCAGCTGAAGGAAGGCCTGGTCAGCAAGGGGAGGGAGGAGTGAGGGGTCTCTGGGGATAAGACTGGTCTGGCCACCCAAGTTCAGGAGCAGTTCTGGATCAAAGGAGGCTGGTGCTCCTCTGTCCTGTAGGTGACACATCAAGCTTTTCCCCCAGCCGGGGAAGGAGTCCTTCCTTAGAGGTCTTTGCTAACCAACCTTGCTTCTAAAGACTATCTGTGTTCTTTTTTAAAAATTAAAAATATTTTATTTATTTATTTTTAGAGAAAGGGGAAAGGAGAAAGAGGAGAGAAACATCAATGTGTGGTTGCCTCTCATGTGTCCCCTACTGGGGACCTGGCCTGCAACCCAGGCATGTGCCCTGACTGGGAATCGAACCAGCAACCCTTTGCTTCACAGGCCCCTGCTCAATCCACTGAGCTACACCAGCCAGGGTTAAAGACCATCTGTTTTCTGTGGAGGTGCCCATAGGGTAGGAAGTCTAGGGTCAGTGGTGAGAGTACTTAGTGCTCTTGCTATTGCTCATTGTCACTTCATAAATTGGTCTTGGTTTGGTTGGTGTTTACATCAACTCTTCCTTCCAAAGCAGAAGGTCTTAATCTAAAAAAAGACTCTGGACTGAGATGGATTCAATAAGATGATTGCACCCGGCGAAGCCCGAGACAGCAAGAGCAGCCTTTCCCACCCAGTCCGAATTGTTGTTCCGCTCACTTCTGCGTCATTGCTTGATTCCTATATGTTCCCTGACCACCTCGACCGGGGACGGAACCAGCAACCCAGGCATGTGCCCTGACCAGAAATTGAACCAGCGGCCTTTTGCTTTGCGAACTGACATGCAACCAACTGAGCCACGCTGGTCAGGGTATAATCATTAACTCTAGTACACAGACTGCCTCAAATGGGCCTGTCCATGACCAGGCAACAGAGCCTTGTGTTTATGCTGACCCTAGAGGCAGGTCTTTGGCAACAGGTTTACAAAGGCATTGTATGGGGGAGCTGCAAGTGAACCCAGAGTCTCCTTTTGTCAGAATAATCTGGGGGAAATCTGCTTCACCATAACTGGACTTTGAGAAAAATCTCAGGTTAAAAGATTTATCCTCAGTTGCGGGCAGCAGTTGGGGTTCTGTGTCTTTGCATCAAAGCATAACACGGTCCAGCACAAATAACGCCACCCCCACCTTTTTTGTAAATCTTTTTTTTAAGATTTTATTCATTTACTTTTAGAGAGAGGGGAAGGGAGGGAGGGAGAGAAGAGGAGAAAAACGTCAGTGTGTGATTGTCTCTCGTACACCGCCCACCAGGAAGCTGGCCCACAACCTAGACGAGGGCCCTCCCTGATTGGGAATTGAACCAGTGACCTTTTGGTTCTCAGGCCAACACTTAGTCCACTGAGCCACACCAGCCAGGGCTAATGCCCCCTTTTTTGTTACAAGATCATAAGTATGTAATTCTGTAACATAGTGATATCACATTCAAGCACAGCATATGACATTTCAGGTGAAGCGTTCCAATTAAAACTCTAGCACTGGCTGGTGTGGCTCAGTGGATTGAGTGCCAGCCTGCGAACCAAAGTGTCACTGTTGTAGGCAACAGATGAGTCAATACACGCTCTCGGAGAGGAAAATAGGTTTCAAAGAATTCTAGTTTTATTGATCACAAAATAATAGTCCAATTATAAATTTGGTGGCCAAGCTTTACCTGCGCAGGGGCGAACTTCCCCAACTGTGACTGGAGTCACGTAGCTACTCAGAGCTACAAAATGGAAGTCGCGCGTGGCTCACAGACTATGGGGTTTTTATAGGGCAGAGCAAGCGAATGCGGGCTTACAGAAGCAGATGTGGCAGTTAGCTATTAGCCAGGTTGCTAAGTTAAAAACGGCGAAAGTCTCTAATTGGTGGGTGTAAGTCTCTTCTGGCGGGCCTTGGTCAGTTACCTTATTTGGCTAGGAATTTTAACCCAGCCATTCCCTGACGTTTATTTATTACCCAGTCTCAGGAACTGCAGATGCCTAACGGCTGTTTGTATGTTTCTACTACTAATGGCTATTACATCACCGGTTCAATTCCCAGTCTAGGGCACATGCCTGGGTTGCGGGTCAGGTTTCCAGTGTGGGGCGCATGGGAGGCAACTGCACATGGATGTTTTTCTCCCTCTCTTTCTCTCTTGCTTCCCTTCTCTCTAAAATGAAATAAATGGCCCTGACTGGTGTAGCTCAGTGGATTGAGCATGGGCCTGCATACCAGAGGATTGCAGTTCAATTCCCAGTCAGGGCACATGCCTGGGTTGCAGGCCAGTTCCCAGCAGGGGATGCATGACAGGCAACCACACATTAATGTTTCTCTCCCTCTCTCCTTCCCTTCCCCTCTAAAGATAAATGAATAAAATCTTTAAAAAAAAGAAATAAATAAAATCTTAAAATAATTAAAACTCTAAATTATTACACCCATATTATTACCCTGCCAGCCACACTCAAGCAGGTGTTACTTCTACTGGACCCTGTACATAACCACCTGTCTCTATGGGGTGGCTTTTTAAAAAAAAATATGAGTCCTTTCCAAGAAAATTAGTTCCTTCCATGGGAAGAAAAATACATTCTTGCTTTTTTTTTTTTTTTTTAGGAAAATGCATTCTCAAACTGATACTTATTTTACCCCAAATCAGGAGGAAAATAATTATTTGGCTATAAATTAATGAGCTGAGAGTAATATCTGTTAACTTACAATTTGGCCATAAGAAGTGAAATTTTAAGGAAAAATAGACCTACTAAGTTATTTGCTTTTGCATACTAGAGTTCTGAAATGCACTTAAGAAATTTGAGGGAAAATGATGGATTATATTAAATTGGAATGACAACCAAAATAGTAGGAAAATAATTTTTTTGTCACTACTTATAAATTAATTTACTGGATAGAAAATATTTGAAAAGTTAAGTGGCCAGGGGCAATTTATTCTTTTTTCCCTTTTGTTTTCTTTTCCACTTACTTTCACCTCTTAACCTTCTCCAAATGAATCTGAGGTAAACCTGGAATTTCCTCCGGACTCCAAATGCTCTTGAGGAATAGGGCCCTGGCTGGCGTAGCTCAGTGCACTGAGCGCAGCCTGCGAACCAAAGGATCACAGTTCAATTCCTAGTCAAGGCACATGCCTGGGTTGCGGACTAGTTCCTGGCAGGGAATACACGAAAGGCAACCATACATTGATATTTCTCTCCCTCTCTTCTTCCCTTTCCTCTCTAAAGATAAATAAATACGCCCCCCCCAAAAAAAAAAAAAGACTAGAATAGGCCCTGGCCTGATAGCTGAGTTGGTTGGAGCATTATCCCAATATACTAAGGTCTCGGGTTTGATGCCTGGTCAGGGTGTGTACAGGAGTCAACCAATGAATGCATGAATATGTGGAATAACAAAGTGATGTGTCTCTCTCTCTCTCCCTTTCTCCTTTCTCTCTCTACAAATAAAAATAAAAATAAATAAATAAAAAGACCAGGATAATCATGTCAACAGATTCTTTGGTTCTCAATATTTAAGGATAAGTACTCCTGTGATTTTGAATACTCTCTTCTCCTAATATATATATGTGTGTGTGTGTGTGTGTGTGTGTGTGTGTGTGTGTAATAGTGAAGCCTGGAAGAAGAGCATTTATTGGTAAATTTAGACACCTCTGCCCACATTTTCATTTAGAAAGAGTCGTCCAAGATTAGACTCTGGAGCTCTTTTTTTTGAAGATTTTTTTAATTTTATTTTTTAGAGAGTAGAAAGGAGAGATAAAGAGAGGGAGAGAAGCATCAATGTGTGGTTCTCTACTAGGGACCTGGCCCTGAACTCAGGCATGTGCCCTAAGACTGGGAACTGAACCCGTGTGCCTTTGATTTGCAGGCTGGCACTCAGCCACTGAGCCACACCAGCCAGGGCTAGACTCTGGAGCTCTTTGATAAAACTAAATTTTTAAAAATTATTTTGATTTTCTTTTTTTTATTTCATCTAGAAATAAAATCACCTTGGGGGAAAAAAACAGAGAAAGAATTACTTAGAACAATTATTTAAGTATTTTGCATTTGATTTGGTGTAACATGATTACCCGCACCCTCCCCAGAAAAATTTTTTCTTGGCCAGAAACTGTTTCAGCTCTTTTTTTCCCTTTCCTGTTCTAAAACAAAGTTGTTTGAATTTTTATTTAGCATTTTTTAAGAATTTTTAAAACGATTATTTATTTATTTCTCTTTAGAGGGGAAGGGAAGAAGAGAGGGAGAGAAATATCAATGTATGGTTGCCTCTCTGTGGCTGATAGCCTTTGCGTCCCTGTTCCTGGGTGTCAGATGTGGTAAACCCTGGCCAGCAGAGTCTGCCTGTTGTGGTTTACAGCGAGAATGAATGCACAGGCGACAACAATCCTGTGTGGAAAAGGGGAACAGGCAGGACTACTCAAGGGAAGAGTTGCCTATGGAGCCTCGGCCACTCCCTCAAGAGGAGAGCACCCCAACCCTTGCCTAGACAGGCTTTTATTGTTTTCCTG